AAAACTTGCACATAACGATCCCAGAAAAAATCCCCCCCCCCCTCGAAAGTTAAATGGTCGGCCCCTAATCGAGTCCAGTCCATGTTTTACTACATGCCCTCTTATACACTAAAGTTGATGTTATTAAAATTACAATTTACAAAAAAACAGACAAAGAACTACATTTAGGAATGTTTTACTAATCGAGTCCATGTTTTACTAATCGAGTCCATGTTTTACTAATCGAGTCCATGTTTTACTAATCGAGTCCATGTTTTACTAATCGAGTCCATGTTTTACCAATCGAGTCCATGTTTTACTAATCGAGTCCATGTTTTACTAATCGAGTCCATGTTTTACTAATAGAGTCCATGTTTTACTAATCGGGTCCAGTCCATGTTTTACTAATGAGTCCAGTCCATGTTTTACTACATGCCGCTGGCAGCCGGTCACGGTTTGTAAAATATTAAATGGCCGGCAGTCTAGTGACTATTGTTAAAGTTTAATTTTCATAAGATAAACCTATCCCCAACCCCAAACCCTTCTCTAACCCTAACCCCTAACCCTAACCTTTTGAGAGTTAGAAAAGTCGGGAAAAAAAGTTTAAAAAATTTTAAGAAAAAACAATGCTAAGTCAGGCAAAACACACCCGACCCCGACTGCGTTTAACTTTCCGCACGCAGCGCCCTTGCCGTATGGGCATGTAGTAAAACACTGACTACCGGAACACCGGAACACCACCGGAACACCGGAACACCACCTAACCCTAACCCTAACCCCAACCCTAACCCCCAACCCTAACCCTAATCCTAACCCCAAACCCTAATCCTAACCCTAACCCCAAACAAAATGGTGGTGTTCCGGTGTTCCGGTGGTGTTCCGGTGGTGTTCCGGTGGTGTTCCGGTGTTCCGGTAGTCAGTGTTTTACTACATGCCTGCCGTATGAGCTAACGACAAGCTCGGTAAAAGTTAACGCAAACAAAAGTTTTTATATTCAACTATAGTCACTAGACTGCCGGCCATTTAGTAGGGAGCTTTAGATTTGACTACGAGTACGACTACTTCTTTTTACGGTACTTGCTGAGGGACGAATCATGACGAATAGCGCTTACGCAAAAAACAAAGGAGATGGACTTCTGTGTAGTATTCTGTGATATTACTGAGCCCGTTTCTATAACATAACCGCTGACTAAGTTCCAGTCTTTAAAGCTGTTTCTTAATTGTTTTCTCACACGGCTACACTTTCAAATTCGAATTAGCTATAACCATATATATAACGTATTGTAGTAATTTGACAGCTCTAATTGCTTTGAATTAATGGTTGGGTACGACTGAACACAAGAACTCTTAAAAACATTTAGATTTTCTAATTTGTATTTCTTTGAGTTTTGTCCCATGAGTACAAGACCTTGTGTTCTTACCGAACCATTAATTCAAAGCAATTAGAGCTGTCAAATTACTACAATACGTTATAGCTAATTTGAATTTGAAAGGGTTCAGTTTTTTTTTGAGACACCCTGTATACAAGCTAGTCTATTAAAAATTCATGAATAAAATAAAAATTATGAAATTTATTGAAATGTCAATTAGCTATAAGACCGCGATCAAGCAGTGTTTGATTAATTAAATACTAATTGTTCTACCTATGCAACCGTTCATAATATTTTCACTACGATTATGTATTTCAAAAGCTTCAATCCGTCAAATAATATCTCTTTGATACATAACCCATATATCCTTCTCTTCCCTTATAAGTGATAGCTTATACTTGTAAATATTGAAATATATCTCGGCAGTTTTTATTGAAATTTTTCAACATAATCAGCAATACGATACCTTACTTCCCATCTCCTGCGCGCATAAATTAAAAGCTGGTATTGCCTATTGTCCCGTGGGACATCACAAACACCTTTTTCGCGTTTAACACTTTAATAGTTTAACGTCATTGTGAGAAAGGTGTATTGGTTAGGGCATCGAAGTAAAAGATTTTAAATTTGTGATCTTTGTATCTCATCTCGGCCCATTTCGTTCCCAAAGCCATTTTCACTCGGTCACTCGTTCAAAATTAGGCTCTGGGTTAGACAACTAAAGAGATAGATCTGATTGGCTTCTCAGAGAACTGCTATTTCGTAGAAGTTGAGCAGTTTTCGGTAGGCAAAATTATCTTATCAACGTATGTCAACACAAATACTTTGAACATTGTTACGGGTGCTAAAGCCCGCCGCACACGAGAGCTAGCAACTTGCTGGGCCGCCTCGCGAGGCGGTTAGCTCAGCAAGTGGCTCTCGTGTGCGGATAGTTTTCGTGAGGATTTGACCTCTCGAGGCCTTGAGGAAAATATCTATCGTGTTTGATATTTTTCACCTCGCGAGGAAAAAATCTCAGCGTCTGCGGATATTGTGACTTGTGAGCTAGCTAAGTGCTGAGCTGTTTGAATCAATTAGCCAATGACAAACCATAGTTTCTTCATGTGATATGGAACAAAATGGAGGAAAATGCAAATAATTGTGTTAATTATGTTGTTGTTGACTAGTTTTCCCAACGTGTGCGGTGAAAATACATAGCTGAGCTAGTTGTCACTCGAGGCGGTTAGCTCAGCAAGTTGCTCTCGCGTGCGGCAGGCTTAAAGCATCTCAATTCAAGAGCATGCGCTTTAGAAACTGCTACTTCCGGTTCCGTGTGTCCCAGGGCCTGGGGAGGACGCGCGCGGCCGAGAGGCCCTGTAGAAGAGGATGATCTCGGAGAATGGGCCATCCTCGTTCCCAGGGCTTCTCAGCTGCCTGCGTTGCCGTAAGCCGAGAAGCCCTGGGAACGAGGATGAGAATGGGCCGGGTATTTTTACTCCGGTAGTCTGGAAATGCTTTGTTTTGGACCCAAACTTTTCATGTGCTGTTTATAATGAAAACTTTATTGAATTTTTTACGTATATATACAATTGTAAATCTCACTACTGACTTAGGTAATTTACAATTGGCTACATGAATCACAGAGTACTACATATGTACTATTTACAGTAAAAACAAGAATAAAATGGGTATATGATTATATATATATTGTTATATGTAGTTATTAATTTAAATGTTTAACAATTCAGGGTTTGTCCACTCTTTGTTTCGACAGCAAAAAATACAGTACGTCGCTCTAATGGCATAAGACGTCATCTTTTTTATGCAGTAATGTTGCTGCTTTTTATCCATTCCTATAGTGTCTAACATTTCTAAAAAGGTGAAGCATTCTTTGTCTAACACACCGAGAGAGCTCATTGATAGGTTTACAAATTTAACAGAATTAAAGTGACCCCTTTGATCTTCAATTAGATCTTTGTATTTAGCTTTTTTGCGTTCAACGTTATTATGTAGATTAGATTCAAACCCGACAATAAGTTCAACGACATAAAGATCTTCATTTGGGGTAATTAGGAGTAAGTCCGGTCGATATAGGTCACCAGTTATAATTGACGGGCTTTTGTGGCCGGATAGGTCAGCATAAAGTTGACATGGATTTGTTGTTTGAAACGTTTCAGCGAGAAAGTTTAAAATAGAATCATGTCTCCAAGTAAAGCGCTGAAGGTACGATTGGCAGCAGCAGCCGGCTACCACGTGTAGTAGGGTTCCAGGACACAAACAAAAGGAACATTCGGGACTTGAAGCTAAACCCCATCTTGTAAGGTTTTTTTCGCGTAGGAAGAGAGTTATTTATGTAACGGACGGTGAAGTTGAAAATGTTCTTTGGCAGTTTTGATTGAGCGGCAGACCAAAGTGTGTTTAACTGTGAAAAGGAAAACTTTGCAACATTCGAGAAAAATGAACCTTGACAAATAGACAACTTGCATGTTAGACTAATTTTTTATTTAGGCAAAAAAAATAAATTCCCGTAAAGAATTTATTAAAATTAGTAAAATTGCAAAATTTGGTTGCGAAATGTTGTAAAATACAGAAAATGTAGCCTTGCGAAGTTTGCATATTTTCAGTATGTTTGTATTACGTGCGGAAATTGTTACCATTTTTGAGCCGAAAATGGTAACAATTTCCGCACGTAATACAAATATACTGAAAATATGCAAACTTCGCAAGGCTATATTTTCTTTATTTTACAACATTTCACAACCAAATTTTGCAATTTTACTAATTTCATTATGTTCTTTTTAACTGTTGTGTTTTATTTCCTTCTCTTTACTTAGATTAAAATTTAGTCTAACATGCAAGTTGTCCATTAAACGGTGTTGAAGCTTCTCTTCTTGTCCAGAATGAAAATCCTTGAGAACTTCCTTTGTTGAATTATATATGTCGTACTGAATATTAGTGTGATTGTTAGTTGATTTCCAGAGTTCTTTTATGGAATCATTTGGGGATGTTTTTAAAGCGTTGCGTAGGACAGTAGTTGACATTGGATAAATTTGACGGATGCAGGGAGGATATTCAGACCGAATTTGTTATGGGTTAGATAAATATTACTTAATGTTCCAGAATTGGGTATTTCAAGCCACTTTCTGATGTATTGATTAATCACAGAATCGATTGTTTCCGTTAGGCCATATAAAATAAATTCCTTGATTCTCATCACCGCCCGACGATATTTTGGTTTCCGCGTTGATATATTTTTGTATTTTGTTATAAAATATAAATTTACCGCCCGACCGAGCATCTTCAGAGATTTAGTTATTTTTATATTTTATATTGGAATTTTTGCGATATAAAATTGTTTTATCGTTAATATTGCAACATGTTAAGGGATGCTTGGAATACTGAAGGAAAAAATGGGCTTATAGCCTTATTACAACGATTTGTGTGGACCCTTATGCATGTTCATGTTCATTAGTGCATGTGCTATTATCCACTTATATAGCGTTCTTCTATAATATATTTAAGGGCAAATATAAAAAGACCTCCCTCTCCAATTTTTTAAATTTTAAACTTTTTTTTTATATTTTGACATAAAATATAAAATATAAACCTCCCGCCTCCTGGGAGTTTTTAAAATTTAGCGATGAGAATCAAGGAATTTATTTTATATGGCCTTACCCAGGTTTTCGACAGGGGTGCAACAGTGAGATGCCAGGATATTTTGGATAGAACGTAGCGGTTGTATAGAATAAGTTTGTTTTGGGGGTGTAGAGGTTTATGGTCGATATCAGACATTAGTTCATCAATGAGAGACATTAGTTCAGATTTGTGTTCTTGGTCGGACATATCAAAATCAAAGAATCTTCCTAGATATTTAAAAGATTCTCCCATTTGAATAGTAGGTATGAGACCATTGTTAATTAGTAGTTTCGGTAAGTACTGAACGGATTTTGTCAAAACTTTCTTGATGCCAAAGGTGCTACATTTATCAACTCTGATTATCATGTTCGACCATTGACACCAGATAATAATAATAATAATAATGGAAACTTTTTATTAGATATTTATGATATACTATATATACATTGATAAACCTCACTTAATAAAAGGTAGCCTATCGATGTCCACTTGAATTGAATATAAAGCTAAAATATATATACAGGTGAAAATCTTTTAAATTTAGTTAAAAGTTTAAAAGTTCCGGGTTGTTCCAGTCTTTGTTTCGTCTACAGAATATATAATAAGACGTGCGAATACAAGTAGCAATTATTTTCTTTTTTACATATTTAATACATTGTTCGTCGTACTTCAGATCATGGAGTATATCAAATAAAGTATTCGTCGATTCATCAAATACACCTAAAGAGCTTATAGATACATTAACAAACTTAACTTCATCATATATATTTTCTTGATCGGTAATTAGAGTCAAATATTTTTCATGTTTTCGATCTGAGTTGGTTTTCAGGTTTGTTTCGAATCCAACAGTTAATTCAAGAATGTACAAAATCTTATTTTCAATTGTCAATAGAAGGTCTGGTCGTAACTCGTCACCAGTGATGACAGATGGGCTAATAAATCCAGGCAGATCTACATACATTTTGGACTTTCCGATGTCGGAAAGGCTGGCGCAATGAGATTCAAAACTGAATCATGTCGCCATGTATATCTCCCTTCGTTTAGATATGTCTTACATCCAGAGATTACGTGCAAAAGCGATTCAGGACAGAAGCAGAACGAACACTCAGCAGATGATGTTACAAAAATTTCACATAACATTTCATATATGAAAATTTCATATATGAAATCGTTATATGGAATTGAAACAAATTTCATATATGAAATATTTCATATATGAAATTTTCATATATGAAATTGTTTCAATTCCATATAAAGATTTCATATATGAAATATTTCATATATGAAATTTTCATATATGAAATTGTTTCAATTTCACATAAAGATTTCATATATCAAATATTTCATATATGAAATTTTCATATATGAAATTGTTTCAATTCCACATATAAAGATTATATATGAAATATTTCACATATGAAATTTTCATATATGAAATTGTTTCAATTCCACAAAAAAATTTCATATATCAAATATTTCATATATGAAATTCCACATTAAGATTTCATGTATGAAATTCTCACATGTTTCAAATGTTCAAATATTAAGTTTTAGTATAATTACATAGGTGATTATTGAAAATTCTCCACGCTGATTGGTTGCCGTTGAGGTGATTATTACGCGATAATCACCTAAGCGATTTTCAAAATGGCGGCCGAAGCCGGCATGTTGTAAAACCTGGACTGGACTGGACTTGTAAAACCTGGACTGGACTCATTTGTAAAACATGGACTGGACTCATTTGTAAAACCTGGACTGGACTCATTTGTAAAACATGGACTGGACTAATTTGTAAAACATGGACTGGACTCATTTGTAAAACCTGGACTGGACTCATTTGTAAAACATGGACTGGACTCATTTGTAAAACATGGACTGGACTCATTTGTAAAACATGGACTGGACTAATTTGTAAAACATGGACTGGACTCATTTGTAAAACCTGGACTGGACTCATTTGTAAAACATGGACTGGACTCATTTGTAAAACATGGACTAGACTCATTTGTAAAACATGGACTGGACTCATTTGTAAAACATGGACTGAACTCATTTGTAAAACATGGACTTGCACAAAATTATACTAGTTAAAAATAGACTATGACAAAGGTTGGCCACAGGAGGTCAAATTTTTAAAATATGGCAGCTATATATATTTTTCTTTTCACAGTATTCAATTTTGGGTTTTTGAAATGGAAGAACAGTGTTTTTTTTAACTAAATATGGGTCATTTAGTGCCTAAATGAAATGTAATTATTTTATTAAACCGGTAAGTATATATTACTTATATTATTTATGTGTAGAGTCTGTAAGACACACCACTACTGGAGCGGAAACTTCAACACAGCAGTCAACACAGCAGGGGTCATCCTAAGGCCTCCCAGTTTTCAAAATGTGCAGTTCTGATTGGAAAATGGGTAGCTCTAAATCCTAAAATGGGCCGTTCTAAAATTGAGTTTTGGGGAGAAATGCTGAACTTCTAAACATTCAATAATCAATGTTTAAAAGATTATCTACAAAGAAAAAAGAAATATCGATGAAGTGAGCGACTTAATTATAGTTAACATATACACGGATTTCTGATTTCAGAAAATGCACCATTATAATCTAGCTTCTGTAAATCTAAAATTTTTCCCAAAATTTATTCTCAGAATGCTGGAAATGCCATTTGAGAGACTTCAAAATTTTTCAGGGGGAGAGCTATCCCCGGCACCCCTAGAAGACATAATGCCCACAACACACACTGCATCTGGAAGCAGCTATGAAATGGGCAGTTCTAAATTTTTCTTAGGATGACCCCTGCAACACATCTGTGATATATTATGTTCTGTCACCTTATTATATATAAAAATTGACAGAATCAGTTTAGTTTGTTTGAGTGATATTCTGCCATATTCTCTTAATTTAGCCCCCCCCCCCAAATAAGCCCCCTTTCTAATAATCCCCCTTTTAGGTGAAGATTTTTATTAAGCACCCCCTCTCTTTATTAAGCCCTGTCCCAGGTTAATAGAAAATATGTGTTAACACATCATACATGTCAGACATATATATGTCATGAACATCTTAAAACATATATATAGCCGAATAGTTGAAAAATATATAGTTCAACATCTCATTAATTAAAACCCTTGTGTTAAAATTGTTAGAATACATAGTCGTTTTACACACGATTTTTTGTGCTGGAGGGAAATTATCATATAATTTTACCAAGAAACTATGCATACGCCCCTCTTAAATAAGCCCCTCTCAAATAAGCCCTCCCCCCTCAAAGGGCCAGAAAAGAATAATATAGATGGAATACGGTATCACAAAAACTAAAAATACTTTAGCTTATTCACACTTAAGTTTGCACTAGTCACTAGTTAGTATCACTGTAACAATTCTCATTCCTCACAAGTATAATTAAGAAAAGATTAATAAAAAGTAGCCTAAAAAAACTTTTAAGGAGCCAATACTAGTTGACTTTGACTTTTAGATTTATAATGGTAAAATGGAAGACAATGGTGCCGGCCCAGTGAACCACATTGACTAGCAGAAATATTATAAAATGTACTTATTCCTTAGATACTATAGCTACAGAATATATCATTCTAGATAAACTGTACAGTAATTGCAGTTGTTTTCATCCTAAGAAAAATTTAGAACTGCCCATTTCATAGCTGCTTCCAGATGCAGTACTGTGTGTTGTGGGCATAAGCCTTCTAGGGGTGTAGGGAAATATAGCTCTCCCCCCTGAAAAATTTTGAAATTGAGGTCTCTCAAATGGCATTTCCAGCATTCTGAGAACAAATTTTGGGAAAAATTTTAGGTTTACAAAAGATTATAACGGTGCATTTTTTGAAATCAGAAATCTGGATATAGTAACTATAAGTCGCTCACTTCATCAATATCCCTCTTTTTTTGTAGATAATCTTTTAAATATTGATTATTGAATGTTTAGACACTTTCACGTTTGGAAGCTCAGCATTTCTGTCCAAAACTCAATTTTAGAACAATGAACTATCCATTTTCCAATTAGAACTGCCCATTTTGAAAAATGGTAGGCCTTAGGATGACCCCTGCTGTGTTGACTGCTGTGTTGACTGGTGTATCTTACAGAATCTACACATAAATTATATAAGTAATATATACTTACCGGTTTAATAAAATAATTACATTTCATTTAGGCAATAAAAAAACACTGTTCTTCCATTATTCTTCCATTTGAAAAACCTAAAATTGAATACTGTGAAAAGAAAAATATATTTGGCTGCCATATTTTAAAAATTGGTTTCATCATAGTCAATAGGTTTCTATTTTTGACTAGTATAGTTTTGTGCAAGTCCATGTTTTACAAATGAGTCCAGTCCATGTTTTACAAATGAGTCCAGTCCATGTTTTACAAATGAGTCCAGTCCAGGTTTTACAAATGAGTCCAGTCCAGGTTTTACAAATGAGTCCAGTCCATGTTTTACAAATGAGTCCAGTCCAGGTTTTACAAATGAGTCCAGTCCAGGTTTTACAAATGAGTCCAGTCCATGTTTTACAAATTCTATTGTTCTGAGTCCAGTCCATGTTTTACAAATGAGTCCAGTCCAGGTTTTACAACATGCCTCACGTTCGGCTGTAGGGCGCAATTTGACTTCTTCCTTCGCTGATGATTCCAACAGTGATAACACAAAGTCTGTTTGTTCAATTTGGGTCATTTTCCTAGCTGATATCAAACTTTTCACATTGTCAACAAAATTCTCCACTGTATCTTCATCTGCCTTTCTACTACCAGAAAACTTCTGTATTTTACGCTCTCGGAAAACATACACAACTTGGGGTGTCT